TCTATCTATCTATCTATCTATCTATCTATCTATCTATCTATCTATCTATCTATCTATCTATCTATCTATATATCTATCTATCTATCTATCTATCTATCTTTCTTTCTTTCCCGGGTTATTACCTCTGTCTGTTATTTCTTAACGATGCAAATTGATGCTTTCCTTTTACAAAAACAAAACCCTTCAGATCCAAGCTAATGACAACGCTCCCGAGATAAACACCACATCAGGTACCATTGTTGGCAAGCTTGAGACGCTACCAAATGGCAAAACTGTGTATGAATATCTTGGTATCCCGTATGCTGAAGCTCCAGTAAAAGAATACAGATGGGCAGCTCCAAGACCCCCCAAAAATTGGACAGTAACCAAAGAAACGAAAGAGTTTGGAGCGGCATGTCCACAACCGGAATTCAATATACTGAACTTCAAGAGGGGAAAAAGAAACGGTAAGATGAATAAAGTTTTTTTAGTATTCGAATGTCATTGGAAGTTGGTCAAGGTAGTTCTCAAAGGCGATTGCTTTGCATCCATAAGTTCAACAAGCTCTGCTGTAAGAATACTGATCTAGAAGCAAGAGAATCTAGGAGATTTAGCTAACTGAAGCTTGCAAGAGAAGGGTCCTTTGTTTATTATTAATTTTAATTTATAGATTTATTCTTTTACTCTCACAGAAAGCGAAAATTGTCTTTTCTTGAATGTGTTTGTGCCAAATAATCCAAAAGGCAAGATGGCGGTGATGGTGTGGATTCACGGCGGTGGCTTCGCCAGCCGTTCCTCTGCTAAATTCCGTGGCTTTTCCATATTGGTTCCTCTACTGAGTATCCAGCTCACGTTTTAGCAGGCTATAATGACGTCATTGTCGTGACATTCAAATACAGGCTAGGAATTCTGGGATTCTTAAACATTCCTGAAAAGGACCAAAAGGGAAATTATGGGATGTTGGATCAGGTAAAAGAGAGAAATGTTACATAAAATCGTCAGGCCTTATAACCCCACAGAAATAGAGGACGTTTAAGAAGGCAAGGGAGAGGTCTGGGAGAGAGGTGAAAAATCAGCTCCCCTTTCTGATCAATGAATTTTTTTTGCTCGAAAATGACGCCCAAGAACGTCGAAACGTCGTATATTTTTTAATTTTTTAAAAATTTCTGAAATATTTTAAGAAAAGTTTTGCGCCATTTTTTATTTTTTATTTTTTATTTTTTTTTTTATAGCTGTGTTTTAAAAAGTCGCTTCTTTTTAATTTATTTTACTTAATGGCCACCTTATTTACAATGTACTTTACTCAGTTTTCCCCTCAACCTTGAAGACTGTGCCTACAAGCAAAAATTATTGATTCCTCATGCCAAAAAATATCCCATCCCTGCAACACCACTGTGCTCCCCTCGGGCTTTCCCTAATAAGGTTAACCTGGTGTAGATCTAAATCCAATAACAAATTTACGCAATACGTCATATTTTTAATTTTCTTTTTATCCTTGGCTCTTGGTAAAATTAATAATCGTATAATTCATAAATGCCCTCCTACTCCCAAGCAATTTTTATAAAAAACAATCAATTTCACTTCTTGTTATTTGATTTCTCTCTACAGATTGAGGCATTGAGGTGGGTTCAAGCCAATATTGCCCGTTTTGGAGCTGATCCCAAACACGTGACTGTGTTTGGTGAAGGCACAGGAGCAACAAGTGTCGCCTTACATTTAATCTCGCCTAAATCAAAAGATCTGTTCCAAAGGGCCATCATGTAAAGTGGTGCCGCGTCAACTCCCTACCTACCGAGAAAGGCATCAAACGAGTCAGTACAAAAGCTAGCTGCTGCTGCTGCAAACTGCTCTTTTGACGACAACCTCATCACCTGTCTTCGTGATAAAAGTGCTGAGGAAATAATTTCTTTGCAATCTAATATCCCTACCAAAGCCCTGATGGAAATCAGCAACCCAGTTATTGATGATGATTTCATAGAAGACTCTCCTCAGAAGCTGTATCGAAAGAAAACATATTTTCACAATGTTCAAATCATGGCTGGATTTACAACCCACGAGTCATCCCTAGACGTCTTTCTGAGGCTGGGAAATGCAAGCCAAGTCTCAAAAGAAGAGTTTAAAAATGTGACAGGAACACTCTTGGAAGGACTCACACAAAACAAAATCGTGGAGCAGCTGGTTCAGTACCAGTACGCAG